TTTGCAGATGTGAAGACTAAGGTAGATGAACTAGGAGTATTGTAGTTAGAATTTTGTAAAAATGAAAGCAGATCTGCAGAAAAATGTTCAAATTCATCTGAGTTTGGTTCAGAAACTGTTAGTAATAGTATAGATGTTGTGAATAAAGTGTTTTTTAAAATCTCTATTAAGTTAAATACATTATAATGAAATATTTTTTTGGTTTTAATAGGCAGATCTAAATATTTAGTTATTAAAAATTGTTCAATTAAAATGTGGTTTGGAAGCAAAAATTGGTTGTAAGATAAATATACATATACTTTATTAGAAGAATAATTAATTGAAAAGTAATATTGTTATTAAATTTTTGGTTTTATAAATAATCTAAAAATGTTTTGTATTTAATTATAGAGTAGAATTAGTAGATTATAAAAGGAAAAATATGTTATTGCAAGAGTTAAAATCACAGGATTCTAAAGATGTTGAGTATGACTTCAATAGTTTTTCTTCTACAGGTTATTTATTTTTGTATTATAAGTTAAAAATTAGTAAATTTATTTTGATCTTTAGATGTTGCAAACTGTATAAAAAAAAAACAAAGTTTACTCAAATATAAATTCAAAATATTACTAATTTCTCAATAAAAATACTATAAAAATACTATAAAAACACAATATAATAATAGTTTATTATTCAAACTAGAAATCAGACAACTCTTTCTGATGATTATTTGTACCAACCTAACTTCAAAAACAAGTTAAAGACTCAAGCCTAAAAGTCAACAACAACTTGAAGTTTTCTTGATACAAATTGTTATCAACAAAATTTTTAAATGTAATATATCGAGAAGTAGATGTTTTGGATGGTTTACAAAGGAGTCAAGCCTGATTTTCTGCTACTTCTTGGATAGTCTCTCCTTTGTATTTAGCATCTAAACTGGAAGAGTCTCTGAGAACAGCAAGTATAAAGAAGACTTAAATTTGTTTGAAGATAGAAGATTATGAAGAACGCTTAGAACAATTCTTTAATTAGAAAACTCACAGAGACTTGATACTTCTTGCTGTTTTTTAGCTCTAAAATTTTTGATAAAAAGTGAAGAATTCAGCTTATTCTCTCCAAAAGATTAGCAATATTTATCACTTCCATATTAGAAAACTCTATATAATAATAAACAACATGTATAAAATAGACAGTGCTAGTGAATTTAGTAGCTAGTTGAGTATTTGGAAGAATACCTTATGTGTTATGTGTTGAGGACATACAAATATGTAATATTGTCATTAAATAGGTTATATGGAGATTTCAAAATTCTTATACTTTCGGATGAAGATATAGATCTAATTAAAAGAATAAAGCAAAATAAAAAGAGATATACAGGCATCCTCTAGTTGTCTATATATAATTTTTAGCCTTTAGCATAAGTTATAGTATATTTTATTTTAGGTTTAAATTTCTTGTCAAGATTCTTGCACTTAATAGTAAATTATTACTCTGTATAATTAAAAGTTTTCATCTGATTAAAGGGTGTGGTGACTTAAGTTGTCGCACCCCCAAGCGGCAGGACAAGAGTTCGAATCCCATTGGTGACGAAATTCGAATTTGTGGAAATGTATTATGGTAAAACTGTATGACATATTGATCAGGTAAGCACCTGTGACTTTGGTCTTACCAACTCATATTGAGAGGTTGTGGAATGTAGTGTAACATATGAGTTACACGAAATCCGAGTGAAGTAGCCAAATAAATTCAAGGGATTGGGGAATACGGAAGCCCGCTTGGGAAGTCCCTAGTAGAGAGGTAGCACAGATCTTCGATGGCGCTATGTAAAGAATTATCATCTGGAGAATTGGACACCGTAGTCAAACTGAACGAGAACTGAGTATTTGGCAAGCACTATATCAACCAGGCCGCTAGATCAGCCAGAGGAAAAAGTATTCATTCAGAATACCAGGGAACGCCCACTGGTCCCTCCCGGGCCATCTGGATTGGGAGTTTGGGGCACCAACGGTTGGCATCGTAGTACTGTTGATAGTCTATAAAGTGGGTGCTGGGGTTTGGGTGAACTTTGCAAGAGCACAGAGTAGGTAATAGTAGCGGAGGTAAAAAGCCGCAAGTACTTGGCCACGGCTTAGGCGTAAGTTACTGAAAATCTAGGTGATACATGTGTGGGACATGGACCGCTCTAGTAGGTTTACTATGAGGATAAAGTAGTCCTAAGGGGCCTTAGCGGCAGTTCCCTCTTTGGAGAGAATATCCCGATGGTGCTAAGTTGATCAGAGGGTTTAATTGGGTAACTCAAGTAATAGTGGGTTATAGGTATGATATCTAGTGTAGTTCATATGGGTTACATATGCAAGACTGTTTAAATAGACAACCAAAAGTTGTATATATAGCTAGTATGTATCCTCGTTAATATAACAAAGTCAGGGGTAGCCCTGTGGCTGCCCTAGTATTCGATCCAAAGTTTAATAAAACGTGTCAGAACTCAAAGTGGTCACCTTAACATTTAAAAAAAAAAGTTTTCGTCTGATTAGCAGGTTTTCTTCTTTTTAGCAATAGTTTTTCTAGGTTTTAGTTTAGTTTTTTTATATATTCCTTAGTATTAGTATTTATTTATTTTTTTTTTTTAAGTTTAAGATAATCTCTTGGTCACTGTCCTTTTATTCAATTATTATTAACTTTTACAGTATAGAATCCCATATTGTACACATATTTGAAGAGTACAACTAGCTATATATACAACTTTTGATTACTTATTTAAGTAAACATCTGAAGGTTCTACACTAGCTGCTATACCTATAACCCTACTGAGTTACCTATTTAAACCCTCTGCACCTATATTAATCCTCTAACCAAATGAGAATATATTAGTATCCTTTTATTTTCGAATTCACAATTTAGGACTTTAAGACAAGCTTATCTATAGGAGACCTTTGTCCTCAAAATAAACCTGCTAGTGCTTTCCATATCCACAATCTGACTAACCTAGGCTTTGGTAACTTATACTGAGTCTAAGAACAAGTACTTGCAAGCTAAAGCTGCTCTATTACCTACTTCTGCCCCTTATAGAGTTCACCCAAACCCCAGTACCCACTTTACAGATTATCACCAATACCTAAGTTCTGTCAATAATCTAAACTCCCAATTCAGATAGCATGGAAGGGCTGTGACTTGCTCCTGGTCTCTACGGTTGGGTCCTTTTCTTCTAGTTATTCGTCTGATAGCCTGGTTGGTATAGTGTCTTGCCAAACACCGGTCCTTATCCAGATTACTGAAATCAGTATCTGGATCTCTTAGATAGGGGTCATCTAAAGCAAAGCAAAATCACGTGACACTCATGATAATTGGCCAAAATCGAAAAGTGATAATTGATCAGAAAAAAAAAATCCATATCTATTTTTTTAACTTCAAATGAAGATATCTCTGCAACCACTTAGTAGAATTTGATGAAATTTTTTTTTTCTAATTCTGTGAATTTGTAGAAACAAAATAAAAAAATTTTCTTAAAATTCTACTAGGTGGTTGCAGAGTTATCTTTATTTAAAGTTTTAAATACTAATTAAATAGAAGCTGTGCTGAAACTATTTTGAACTTTAACCGAAAATCACCTAATAGAATTCAATAAAAATTTTCTTATTTTAATTCTAAGAATCAGTAAAATTAAAATTAAAAAAATTTAATTGAATTCTATCAGGTGGTTGCTGAGATATCTTTGTTCAAAGTTTTAAACATCTAACTAAATAGAAGCTGTGCCAAAACTATTTTGAACTTTGAATGAAGATATATCAGCAACCACCTAATAGAATTCAATAAATTTTTTTTTATTTCAATACTAAGCATCAGTAAAATTAAATTAAAGAAAAATTAATTGAATTCTATTAGATGGTTGCTAAGATATCTTCGTTCAAAGTTTTAAATGCTAACTAAATAGAAGTTGTACCAAAACTATTTGAACTTTAAACAAAAATATCTTAATAATCACCTAATAGAATTCAATAATTTTTTCTTATTTTAGTTCTAAGAATCAGTAAAATTAAAATTAAAAAAATTTAATTGAATTCTATCAGGTGGTTGCTGAGATATCTTCATTCAAAGTTTTAAACGTTTAACTAAATAGAAGCTGCACCAAAACTATTTTGAACTTTGAACAAAGATATATTAGCAACCACCTAATAAAATTCAATAAATTTTTTTTTATTTCAATACTAAGAATCAGTAAAATTAAATTAAAGAAATATTAATTAAATTCTATTAGGTGGTTGCTAAGATATCTTTGATCAAAGTTTTAAACGCTAACTAAATAGAAGTTGCGCTAAAACTATTTTGAACCTTGAATGAAGATATATCAGCAACTATCTAATAGAATTCAATAAATTTTTTTTATTTTAATACTAAGAATCAATAAAATTAAATTAAAAAAAAATTAATTGAATTTTATTAGGTGGATGCTAAGATATCCTTGTTTAAAGTTTTAAACATCTAACTGAATAGAAGCTGCACTAAAACTATTTTAAGCTTTGAACGAAAGTATCTCAACAACACCTAATAGAATTTAAAAATTTTTATTAAATTTATTATACAATTACTAACAAAATTTAAATAAATTAATAGATATTTGACTCAAATAATACAAAGAATTAAATATACTCAGATAAGTATTTTTTATTTGTAATTATTTACAATTTTATATTTGGCACATTTATATTAATTGATCTAATTTCTTCTATTTATTACTATGGCCTTATAAAGAGATTTGCTTGTTATTTACTCATCATTTATTGTTCTGATCCATAGAACTATTTCGCCCATCCACCTATCCAATAGGTAGTACTATTTGATTTTTTTTGCCTACTTACCTACTCAGCTAGTACTAAAATTTATTATTTTAATTTATTTATTTATTTATTTATTTTTGCTCAATTACAGTTTAGACCTATAGAACTGGTTTGTCATCCATCTATCCAGTAAATAATTCCTTTAATTGTTAATATTTAAATGATCAAATTGTAAAAAAAAAGAATCTACAGAGGCTTCAAACATCGAACAAAAGTCTCAGTTCTCTTAACATTTCCATTTGCTACAGCATGCCAATATTTATTGTGCACTTTTTTGTTTAATTAATTGATAATAAGCTTTAAATTTTTTTCTTTTTTTTGTTGTTCAGTTTTTGCTACTTCTTAAATTACTAATTCATAACGCTCATAAACTTCAAATCTGTTCTCTTTGAACATTTCCTAGAATGTTTTCTATATATCAGCCGTTAGTAGCTTTATAGCTCCATATGAGTATTCATGAAAAATATGCCTACAAGGCAACAAGTAACGGTTGTGAAATAAACAGTGACACTCTAGAGAAGTTAAACCCGATGCATATTTTTCTTTTTCAAGTTTACGCATAACAGCACAGACTTTTTTCACTAATAGTTGCTGAAAAAGGTAAGGAAACTTATAAATTTTCTTAAGCATATTACTCTTTTCACTATATGTGGATACTTTTTAATACAAAAGTCAAATGTAGTGCTTTCAGAGTCAGATTGTTTTTTATTATCAAGAATGACGATATTATGGGCCACACTTAAATAAAAAAAATGATTAGAAAATGAAAATTTTGTTTTAAAAACTTTAATCATAATATAGTAATAAATTACACAAAGCTAAATTTTCATTTTGTATAGTCGCCAACCCAAATTCAAATAAAATTAAAGCTAAAATCGATTTAAACAAACAAATTATAACATACCTATTAATCTATAAAAGGAAGATGTTGCTCTTTTTAATTCGCTATGATAGAATTTTAACAAATTTGTAGAGATAACTTGCAAAAGCAAGGAAAAATGTTAATGTGTCTACAAATCTCACTTCTAGGTATTTTTTTATAGTTCCTTTTAATATAATTCTGGATAGTAGGGACCTTGCTACAATTAATAGCATCTTAAACAAGCTTTTTGCAACTGATTTTTGTTCTTTTATACAGTATATTGCTGCAATCATAATATTCCGAGATTCTTTTTTATAGATCTTTGTTAACCAAAACCTTCATTATATAAACAACACAGAGGATTATTTCACATTTTTGTTCACCAGCATTTATCCTAGCAAATGCTTTAACACCTTTTTCCTCAATACTACTTTGGTCTGAAAGTATATATCAGTGAGACCAGCTACAAAACTTATTACGTATTATTTTCAATGCCTCACTAATGATATCACTATCTTTGATGCTAACAAAAAAGTGTGCACTAGTATCCCAGCAACCATAGGTATTACGAATATATAAAGTGAAAAGATGCCAATTGCATCTATTGGTTTTATGGATAGAATTGATAAGCGTCAACTATCCATAATACTAAAGCTTTTTTAACTGCACAGGATGCATAAAGACCATACCCTTATTGTTCTGTTGAGGAACTCAAAAGTTCTTAACCTGATATTCTTGCTTTATTAAAAATGATATAGAATCCAAAAGATCCATCTTTAAGCTAGAATCACTAACAAGGTGGGTTTGTATTGGCCTATGTACTTTATTCTTAATATTAGATACTTCTTTCTTTTTCAATTTATACATACTTGGTCTGAGACCTAGCTTAATTGTTGCATACTCTTTAATAGTGACAGTAATCACCAGAGGTGAATAATTTTTAGCAGCTTCATGCTCAACAAGAGTCCGAATTGCTTGAGAACATTTGATTCTATCTGCTTTCTTCAAGGAATATACATGGTTTAGTAAATTTTTATAATGTTTAACTTTCACTTTACTTGATGAATACAATCAGAATACTTTTATTTTTGCTTCACATAATCCTGATAGTTGTATTTTCATTAATCAGTGCTTTTTTATAGGAATATTTTCTTTCTGGCAGGTGCTTGAATCTCGATGCTTGTTGAAACGACAGGTAAAAACCTTAGAAATATTACTATTTATGCTTTTATATGTATTCTATTGTATTCAAACGTTAGATATCAAAGGCTATCAAATATTGTTGAAGTCATCTATTAGAATTTCTAAAGGAATATTTATGTCAAATAGAAGGTACTGTTTTTCATTTGAATCAAGGTTTAAAATTAATGCAGCTTCTGAAGAAGCCATATGAAATAAGTTTATATTGTTTAAATTTGCTCACAATTTATAATATAAAGGAAAAAATATATATATATAAACTATATATAAGTTTATATAAAAAAAAACAAAAAAAAACAAAAAAATGAATCAAATGTCTTGTTTGTTTTAAAGTATTGTTAAAGAAAACCATCTTTTTGATGGCTATGCAAAACTTATACTACAGTTTTAAAGTGCCTTTATGATTGTTTGTTTAAAAAAAAAGTATAAAAAAAAAAAAAAAAACTGTATAGTAGGTCAAAAAAAAAAAAACCACAAAGAGGTCAAAATTTAAAGTCAGAAAAGAGATTCAAAGAAACAAGGCTGAAAACAAAGCCAAATAATGATGCAACAGCTTGGTTAGAACTTGCTTTAGCATTAAGGTTTTGAGTTAGAATAACAAAATCTAAAGTCTTACTATTTCAGTATTTGGCTGACAAATCAATAATATACAGTCAATTATAATTATCGTATCATCTGGTCAATAAAATTTCATATGTGATTCTGCTTTGCTTTAGCCATCCCCCTTAGATAGCCTTTTATGTAGTATTATCAAATATCTGTACTACCTCTCTACTTGGACTTGCTAAGTAGGCTTCTGTGTGCCACAATACCTGGATTTACACAGCCATTTCACTCAAGTTTTGTATAACTCATACATTATACTATAGTTCTACAGCTTCCTAATAACTTTAGTATAACTAAGTTTACAGATCTGATGATTTATCAGATTACACACAGTCTGCTGTAACACATTCTGTAAAATTCATATTTCATCGTTAGTAGGATTTAAACTCATGTTCTGCCGCTTGGGGGGTGCAACAACTTGACCACTTTATTAAGTCACCACACCTATATCTATTTTTTTTTAATATATTAGTTTTTATTATATACATTTTTTTTCATTCCTTATTATTTTTTTTCTTTTTTCCTTCTTTATAATAAAGTGTTATCAGTTTGGCAGCATTCTATTGTAAAGTGGAAATCTTGATAAGATGATACAACAGTCAGCCAAAGAATTTGGAGAAAATAAGTCTAGAGTAAGTTCCAAATCTCTGGAAAAGGCTAATTGTTTGCTAGGCAGGTTGCATTTGGGCAAAACACAGCAGTTTAATAGTTCACTATAACTGCAAATAGATGTTACAGTATCTGTAAAATATGCTAGAGGTGAGTTTATCTTTTGATTAAAAACACTTATAGATTTAGATTTCTTCATATATCAATATAAGAATGAAAGTTTGTTCTTATAATAAAGTAAACAGAATTGCTGAAGGAAAAAAAATAACAGTTTATTATTAAGAAAATATAAGATAATAAGGCTTTAATACAAGAAAATAATTAAAAGAAAAAGTTAAATATACTTAAAAATAATATAAATAATTATACATTAGATATTTTTCTACTTTGAGAAAAAAAACAAAGTTAAAATATATTTTGATAATATTATATTTTTATTTTTAACTTTTTTTTAATATTAAGGTGACTACTTTGGGATCTGACATGTTTTATTAAACTTTGGTTCAAATGCCAGAGCAACTACATAAGCTACCTCTAACTTTGTTACATTAATAAGAGTATAGTTGGCTACATATATAATTTTAGTTATATTTATTTAAGAGCTTCGCTATACATATTACTGTCTATAGTTATTTGCTACTTGCTATACCTGAGATCTGCTTGTAAATCTTCTATTTAAACTCTCTAATCAACTTAGCAATTACAGTACGACTTCCTAAAAGCTATTTACCTGACTGGCCACTTACCCGACATTACAAAGGTAACAAATTGCTAAAAATATATACCTGCAGCTAATCAAATGCTAACTCTAACCCTATATGATATCAGGTAAGTGACCTGTTAGGTAAATAACTTTCGGGAAATTAAGCAACAACTAACTTAGCATCATTAAATATTCTTCTCAAAAAGAAACTGCTGCTAAAACTCTTTAAAACTACTTTATTCTTGTAATAAATCTACTAGAGTAGTCTATATTCTATATATATATCATTTAAATTTTTGATAATTTATGCCTAGGCTATGACCAAATACTTGTAGTATTTTATTTTTACTACTGTCATTTACTCCTTGCCTTTGCAAAGTTTATCCAAACCTCGGCATCTACTTTATAAACTATTAACAGTACTTCAATGCCAACTATCAGTATGCTAAACTTTCAATCCAGATAGCCCAGGAGAGACCAATAGACATTCACTAATATTCTGAATGAATTCATTTTCTTCTAGTCATTTGGTGGCCTGGTTGGTGTAGTGCTTTTGCTAAACACTTAATCCTCATTTAGTCTACTTTTAGTGTTCAGTTCTTCAAATAATAATACTATATGTAGTGTCATCAAAGATCTGTACTACTTTTCTACTCAAAACTTCCTAAGCGAGCTTTTGTATCCCTTAATCTCTTAGATTAATTTGGCTGCTTCACTTGGAATTTGTATAATTCATATGTCACACTATGTTCTACAACCTTCTAATACAAGTTAATAAGACCAAAGTTACAAGTGCTAACCCAATTGATATGTTATATAGTCTGCTATACACATTCTATAAATTCAAATTTTGTTGTCAATGGAATTTGAACTCTTGTTCTGCTGCTTGGGAGTGCGATAACTTATCAACTTCACTAAGTTACTACACTTACTTAATATTATATTTTTATATAATATTATTATATAATAATACTATATAATAACAATATAAAATAATACAATAAAATAATACTATAAATCATTGTATAGTGATTAAATTATTGTAATAATACTATATACTATTATCTAAGTTATTATAATATAATAATAATACTAAAAATAGTTATAATAATAATAATGTTATAAGATATTATTATAAAATAATATTATAAAATAACACTATATACAACTCTTCTCAACGATCTCTTGGTCAACAATAAAATAAACCAAACTACAGAAAAATACTATAAGAAAGCAACAAAGTAGATACAACAATACTCTTGGTCTATATAAACAAACTTGCTATTAACAAAGCTACCATATATATGAAACACTAAGAAGCAGATGTATAATAAAAAGTGGGCTGTGCCTTTGGGTCAAGCTTTTTAGTAAACTCCCTTATACTTTTGGTATCCAAACCAGAAAGATTATTCTGGAAGCAATGTTTCTGTAAGTTTTTGGTCAAGAATATCTAATGGAAACTGAGGAACTGAACTATACAACTGTAAAATTTACAAGAAGAACCTCATATACTTTTATTGGCCCACTACTTTTTTTCAAAGAAATTTTTGTAAAAAGTGAGTGATTTAGTTATTTTCTCCAAAAGATCAACATCACATGTATCAAAACAGTCAGTATTGTTTATTTACTAAATCAGTATAATGGTACAAC